AAGTGTCTTGAAAAATATCTAGTCAAATATTATGTACTGTCATCATGGCATAGATAAAATAAATCAGTTATTAGAGATGAGTTGTTAAAACTATTATGTTTAGAAATGTGTTTTCTACTCTCTGTTAAACAGAAATTGGGGAAAAAATAAATAGGGGGGCTAATAATTCAGAGGAGCTAATAATTAATAATAAACATTTCTTAAATGATTAAATAAAATGACAAAAAAGGGCGATAAGCACCTCTGTCTGTCGACCTCCGGCTGATTCTTTTGTCCTGAGAGGAAGGCTCAGCTCTGTTGTCCTTCATTATCTGAAAGGTTAAAAAAATGGTTCAGGTTTGCAAACGTGCAAAAGAGAAGTGACGATGCATCTGAAGCGACACGCTAGAATAATACCTTTCCCATATGCTTGTTTAATCCTTCTTTCAGAACCGTGCGGGCCTTGAGATTAGTGCTCTTGCTGGTTTGACAGCTGCTGCTGTTGTAAATGTGTGTTTTTGGTGGTGCTTCATGCTGATTGTCCACTGATCTCTGCCTTCTCTCAAACCAGTCCTCGGGTGACGACTGGCACGTCTTGTTTTTAGATGGAGCTCTGTGGAAACATGAGAAAGAATGAACGTATTAGATATATCTGAGCACTACCATGTGACGTGTGCAGTAAAAACTTAAAACATACATTCACAGAAAAAGTGTACAGTTGAAGTCAGAATTATTAGCCCGCCTGTCTATTTTTCCCCCCATTTTCTGTTTAAAGGAGAGCCAATTTTTCCCAACACATTTCTAAACATAATAGTTTTAATAACTCATTTCTAATAACTGATTTATTGTATCTTTATCATGATGACTAAGTATTATACTAGATATTTTTCAAGACACTTCTATAAAGCTTAAAGTGACATTTAAAGGCTTAACTACAGGGGCGGACTGGGACAAAAATTTAGCCCTGGCACTGTAGCCACACCAGCCCACATTACCACACCGAAACAGCCCCACCCACAGACACGCACATTCACTATTTAGTCTACAGATGGGGAAATAATAAAACATTCTTGCCAGATTTTGATTATGTATGGGTAACCTCGGATTGGGTCGGCCCATCTTGAAACCAGGCGGCAGTTGCCGATTGGGCCAAATGCTTAACATTTATTATTATTATTATTATTATCATCATCATCATCATCATCATAATATCACATCTAGCAAGAGATAAAAGCTGTCTGCACTTAAAAACAATACATATTTAAAAAAAAGAACTGACCGGCCCACATTTAAAAATTTGTCCGGCCCTTCTGGCATTTGCCGGAATTGCCAGTCCGCCCCTTGCTTAACTAGGTTAATTAGGTTAACTAGGCAGGTTAGGGTAATTAGGCAAGTTATTGTATAACAATGGTTTGTTCTGTAGACAAGTTTTGCTTACCAGGGGCCTGTTTCAGTAAGGAGGTTCAAACAACTCAGAGTTTAAACTTGAACTCTGAGTTGATTTACCGAGAGATTAAAAACTCAGAGTTTTCGGTTTCAGAACAGCTGATCTGAGTTGGGTCAATCAACTTCGAGTAGACCAACTCAGAGTTAAGCGCGCACACCGTGACTTTAAAAAGGCATTATCAATGGAGCGCAGACATTACGAGTGACTATGGCAATATCTTATAAAAGAGATCACCATTTCTTTCTCCAGCTGAACTTGATGTTCTCATGCAAAGTTATAGCAAATATGAGCGTATATATTTGAAAAGAAGCAACCATCAGTGAAGAAGAGACATTTAGCGTGGAAAACAGCTGCTCAAGTTAATGCCTAATTTCACTTTTTAAGTATTTAAATATTTAAGTATAATAAAATAAGTAATGTAATTTGTGACGTTTATATTTTTTTTCAAAACTTTTTTTTATACATTTATTAGTTTTAAATGATTTAACAGTGCACTTGTGTGTCTGCCTTTTTTATT